GATCCAACTTCAATGCCGACCAACGTTTGCTCTTTTGCTTTGTTCCTTAGCGAACGGACGAGCGTTGCGGCAATTGGGACCGTTACACTAAGTGATATTTTATCATTACGGGTTGGCTGTGGGCGGTAGGTCCTCCATTGTTCTATATTGTTCGTCGCCCGTTTGGCTTTTGTCGAGTTTGTATGACCGAGTAGACTACAGGAGGAATCCAGTGCGGGCGTCCGTCGCCGTTGAGTAGATAATGGGTTTGTTTTGAAGATTTCAATAAGATTCGGCGGATGAGATGGTTATGGGCTGTGCAGGGCAATCTGGGCCGATCCCGTCTGAGATGACCTTAGTGGATAAGAAAACATCTATTATGCAACGCGCGTTGGTAAAATATTGACTCAAACAAGAGGCAGAAATGAAATCAATTCCATGAGAGTTTTAATACGCATTCTAACAAAAAATCGAACGCAAACATCCGACAAATATTCTGTTCGCTACTCGAATGTTAGAAATATAGCGCAAACATCGCATTCTGTTCGACTGTTGCATCGTTGCAATTGGCGAACTTTCAAAGCGACGCGAAACTGAAATCGAGAAATCCGTCTTTTTATGCGAGAAAACTTTACAAATGCGGGATGGCACATTTGGCAACGGCGGTTTGGTTTAGGCGCCAGACGTGCCAGAAACGCTGGTCAACAATACGTGTAACAATTCGTGCCTAAACAATACGTGCTAGTAACAGCTCGCAACGTTGCTCAACGCTTACCTGGAGGACGAGTGCGATGCTAATTGACGTGTCATTGTGATTTGTCATAATGTACAATTTCAACGTGTGGTGAATGGTTTGTTGCTTGGAATAATATTTGTAATAAAAACGGGCCAAATGTGAGCCGGTCTCGCGTAAGATGCTGTTTGCCGTTTTTATGGATAATGATAACGGGACCCCCGTTATCATTATCCATAAAAACGGCAAAAAAATCAAGTCTGTTGTATGGGAGCCCTGCTTAAATATGTTTTTTTATTCTGTTTTTCAGTATTTGCTTGGCAACAGAAACACATCATTTGTGAAAATTTTAACGGTCTAATTCATGAGATACAGCCTGGTGACAGACAACGGAATATTAGTAATAGGGACCCGTTTTATCCTTTGGGTACGGAAACCTAAAAATTCAAGTTGTCTTCCAAAAATTTGTCAAGTAATTGAACTCGTGTACTTTCGATTAAGTTGTTGAAGAAGTGTTAAAATATTGATGATAATCTAAAACAAATCTAATTCAAAACGACTAATTAATCAATTGATAACATTCGACGTCAACACAGAGGATTGATACGGCGGAATTTTCAATTATCGACATTTATCTTTGGGCACTAATTGGTTAATTAATTGATTTGAAATGGATAGATAAAATTACAAAAACATGTCTGTGTGCCATTGTTAATGTGTGCCTATTGAAAAGGAAATATGTTAGAATAATACGTTCCTAAGAATAATACGGGAAGTGTAGAATGGATCTATGGTGCCCACTTAGAGAATTGGACATGACATGAACTAGAAAAACATAAGAAAGCATTCAAATAATTTTCATACGTATACAAAAAAATTATCCTTTGCTTACTTATCGAAGGGATAGGAAATAAATACTTTTTCGTTAATCTTCATATCTATTGATAAACGTGTGCATTTGATACGTTTGTGACGCAACTGGTTAGTTAGGGTGACAAATAAAATCAATGATATCACCAAATGCTCGATATTACTTGTCCTGATTAGTAATATTGTTGCCTCTTAATCATTAAGTACCTGGGAGAGTGGTTTTTTTGGTAAATCGTTTATCTTGGAAATTAAAAAATAAGTGTGTAAACGATCCTGACATGAACAGCAGCATGAGCAGTCTATGTCATATTTCCCTGAAAACAGGGATAAAAGGACATTTTCTAAAAATGAAACCTAGAACCTAGCTAGATCGAATTTTCGCCCCCGAATCTACGCACATACTAAACTTCATGAAAATCGCTGGAGCCGTTTCCGAGATTCCGATTATATTATATATATAGTTTGACAAGGTATTCAAATTCAGAACTTATTTAAAAAACTACTTGACATTTTAAATTAAATATCTCTCAAGATTCTGGTTTCTTTAGCAGTGAAGTATTTCGGCAATGCTATACAATGTACAGATAGATACAGAAGTGAATATAAACTTAAGTATTAAATTAACTTCAGAAAAACAAAAATAAAATTTGCACGTTTTTCTTTTTACTTCGACTGTAGTTCTTCACTCTACCGGTTCAATAAATTGACCACGCGAGTTTTTTGCATGCACAGGTAACTATTACTTAATACAGAAAAAAGGCAAAAAAAAACAGCACATCGCTCTTTTGCGACGTCCCACATTGCATTGTATTTAACAGAATCAACACTATAAATAACGGTTAACCATATTCAGCTATGTGAGCAAGTAACAGCGATTAAACAGCTATCGGTCTGCTTCGAAGCTGTATTATGACGCAGCGGTTTGCACGGGAACGGGCAGTGGATCAATAGAAAGGAGGGTGACACGGAAAATTTATGGTTAAATAAACTTTTTAAAAACAAGCCCTAAAAAGAAGAAGTTAAACTTAAAACTACATCAAACCAATCCATGACTCCAACTTGTTAAATTTTGTTAGACGTTAGGTTGGTTAGATTTTATAGGTTCGATTTTTAAGATTTGATTATTTTATATTTAGTATTATTATAAACTTTTTAGTGCTAATAGAGATTTATGAAATCGTTTTTATTGTTAAAAAACTATTTATATATCTATAACTCGATGTCTGGTATACAACGACGAACGTATCTTCATTGTTGACTATTATTTATTTAATATGACGCCGGATGTTACACGTAAACATAAGTTGAACGAAGTACAAGGACAAATCGATAATAATAGCTGCCCTACGATATTAGCGCTTTCACAGTCGACACAATAACAAAGAGACAAAAACATTACTATCTTATAAACTGGTAAAATGTTTCCTAATCTATTTATTAAAATATATACAGACGAAAACTGTATTTAAATATTTCAAAAACCAATCATGATTACAATGTAATTATTACCAACCGAATTCATAATCTATATTTATATCAATTCTCCTGTATATAGATTGTGGATTAGTAAATAGCTTCGTACCCATTTTTAGCATTTGCGCTTGCAGTTGAAGAGTAGGCTAGAGGAGTGCAGCAAGATAAAATTTATTGACATGTTAAAAAAAGCATTAAATAAATTGTCAACTTCAAAGAAGTTAATATATTATGTTTTAAGATATAATTTGGTCGTCTAAAGATCGCACAGAAAATATTTGAATTTTGGAATTTATGTTATTAATTATGGCAAAAAAATGTATGAATGTAAATAAAAAAGAAATTAACAACAAATGTCTACAGATCGTTGTAAGTGTAAAAATATTTATAATTACCGATAGAATATACATTATAGGTTACTAAATATAAGATATACATTATTAAAAAAATGGTGACACAGAATGGCTGTGTGGAATAAACATTAACACATCTAAGGCCACCCAATACTGTTGCTTCAGTCCTAAAGACAAAGGTAAAGATAAATATTCCAAATAAAACTGTTATTATATAACATTCGTAACATTAAAACATTTAGAAAACAAATCTAAAACATTTAGAAAATATGCATTATATATTAAATTTAAACACATTTTACGAAATATCGTAAGTATTAGATAAAGATAAATCATAGATATGTAAGATAAATCAAAATAAGGATAGTAAAAAAAAATGTAAAATTATTATTAGAGATTTTCTTCATAAACTTTTTCGCGTAACTGTACATGTCTCTGCTCGAACACATCGTGCTATGAGTAAAGACAAAAGTATGTCTATCGAAGGCCGTCACAGAAATGAGCAGAGGTCGTCAACACAACTTCCGACGGCGCCAGTAGGAAATGAATGCTAGGGTAAAAATATCGATACACCCGTAAACACATATAAAAGTGTCGATCTTATTACTGTGAGAATAAAGCTGACATTTAACTGTCTAAAAACATTGGGAAGTCGGTCCCGGTAAAAATTCCTCGAAATAAAACATGTCTTCCGATAATCATAAACCAAAACCGAATTGTTCAACGTCGCAAATTTACCAGCATATAAGTATTTTAATATGCGTTACTTGGAAAAACTTAAATACAATGCTTCTTTAAAAATGAGGAGGTTCTCAAATTTTCGGAATATTTATTCACACTAGTGGTCGTCTCCCAGTAATAATGAGAACGCAATTCGTTATTCTCGAAGCCTGTAGAGTCATGCGGTCATTTTTAAATTCCTCGGGGACAGTCTGCATTTCTGTACCGTTTGACGACACACATTGACAGTGTGAATGTTGTATTTTATTGAATTTAATTTTTTTAACACATAAAAATTTGCTACATAAAATAGTTTTCTACAGAGGAGTGTGAATGAAAAGAATCTATACAATATATCCAACATAGCGCGGTCCAGTTATTGAAGATAACATGCTAAAGAAAGCTACCTGTTACTACCCCAATAACCTTAATCTGTTAGACGCCTGACTCTAATGCATTTAAATATTTAAGTTAACCGATATTTAGCCTAGTTAACAAGACGACCTTTGGGTGCCCTTTGTTTACCGTGTGGCCCTCCAATCGTTATAAACATAGTTAATAACTTATATTAAATAACGTGAACAGTAAAAGCATAAATATTATGCATCGTCGTGGCGTGCCACTTCTGACATTTAAATGCATCCCCCCCTCTCGCTCGACATAAAAATACTTTGTAAAATGCATGTCGAATGCGCAGAGTTGAATAGGGACGCGGGGAGACACGGGGGGAGGGGAGGGAGGGGGTGGTGTGGAACACTCATAGTACGATATCTTTACGTTTGCTTCGCTGGAAATCAATCCGGCACCAAACGTAGTACGGTTTCCAGAAAGTAACGAGGAACGCGCGGACATTGCATTAATTAACATTCATAATGTTGCGTTTTTTGTTACAAAACTATTGGAGGCGAGATATAAAACCGGACCGGTTGGCGCCGGCGTTGCCGGGGTGCGACGGGCGGGGAAGGGGAAGGCACCCGCTTGGCGGTGAGGGGGACGTGGGAGGTGCGGCGAGTGAGGTCAGATTCGGTGCTTATCGCAGTGTTGCGAAAATATCGACATTAGTGTTATCGATATATTAGTTTATTAAGTCATTTGAATTTAAATGAAGCAATGGATAGGTATCATATCTATCTTATATACCTTGGCTTGATTTTGGTCATTCGTACATTGTTTTCGAAAGACAGATTGTACTTTTTCGCACTACAGCTATAGAGCGATGACGCGTACTCTAGTAATTGTCGACAGTGAATTGATGGAATTTATTGCCAGGAGAAATATGTTTCAATTACATATTCGTAACGAAAATACTTCATAAATACATCAAGATCAAACAAATTTATTTTTAGGTCAAATCAATGTATCTACATAGTGGAATGAAGGATATAAAAATCATCTGAGCTAACGAGCCCTTTGATATACAGTTTAACCTGGATAATTGAGAGTTCAAGTCTCACTATCCCAAGTAAGAACTCTAGTTAAGAAGCTAATAGAGGTACAGAGTTCTTACTTACCAATTCTGTAATTGGTTATTATCACTCATAGAGGTTAAATAAATGATACAGTAAACATGCAGTGGATGTATAACGTGCATTACATAACATAAATGTTTACTCACAAAAAAAAAAAATAGATAATATTAATCAGTCGACAAAATAAAACAAAATAAATTTTGCACTTCGATTTAAAAAAAATCCCTTATTTTTACATTTTCTACGTGCTTTGAGGTTTTAGAGGACAAAATGGCGGGACCAGGCTCACTTAAAGACTTTTCCCGCTTACTCAGTTCTCACTTATACAGTTTTGACTGTACTTATTACTAGTATTGTCATACCGTGTTCTCTGAAAATAATTTTCATTTTAAAATAAGCTGATAACTATTCATGAAATATAAATATAATTAAAACATGTAGAAAAAGTACGAAAAGATTGTCGCCGCAATGCTTGGCGCATCAATTGTTATATCCTTTCCAGCATACAAACAATTTCGAATATCGTTTTACAACGATAATTCGAACGAGAGATGTCGCCATTGCAAGCATTGCCCCAAATGCTAAATAACAATGTAGAAAGAAGGCGTTAAGATTTTCGTCGCTGTGGCTATCAGCTGTTTAACTCAGAGCGTCAGGCCGCGAATGCCAAAGACGTGGGTTCGATTCCCACAGCGGCGACAATCTTTTCGTACTTTTTGTACATGTTTTAAAGTTCAATCTTAAGTGCAGAGATTAGCACTATAAAAAACTTTAAAATTTATATAAAAATAACCCAATAAAATCTTCCAAAGCCTCATTCAAGGACATTTAGATACATCGTATTATATGCGCAAATACGATAAATCTGCGTCGATATGCGTGGCGCGTCACTAGTGGGGTTGGACCGCGGACGTGAGCGGCATGGCGGCGCGTCCCGCGCGTCTCACCTTCCCCCTGCCACCTATAAAACAGGCGGCCGAAACGCGCGCGCCGTTTATTAAGCCAGCGTCGCAGTATAGCTCGAGCTCCGCGCAAACGCGAAGCCACGCGAGATCAATTGTGAAAGTGTACACGGGCGATTTCCAAACAGTGAGAGTGCTTACACCGGCCCCGTCGCCAACGGTTCCCGGCCCGGTGCTTGGAAGGGATATCTTTGAGAATCCAAGAGAGCGGGGTTCAATGGAAGCGAGGTTCGTGACCTGCCGGAGTTTCCAGCAGATCAAGCCGCCGGAGAAGAGTCTAGCGCCGCAGCCGACCGTCAGGGGGCTGCTGTCGCGCTTCGGCAGCCAGGCGCAGGCACTGTTCGCGCCTAGGAAGCCGCGATTCGGCTCGTCGGTGGCGATACACAAGTTGCGCGAGACCAAGTGGTTCAAGCACGATGAACAGAACATACTGTGCGCCGTGCTCGAGTCCGGCTTTATCCTGGAGGTGCGGGCGGAGGACCCGCTGCCGCCGGACTCCGAGCTGTCCCCGGACTACCACATGTACGCCGTCGCTATGTGGAAGAAGGGCAAAGGTACGTGGCGCGGCGGCGAAACGCATTCCTCGCGCGGGCGGCCTTGGGTCGTCGGCTTATCGTGCGGCGGCGGGGGCATCGACGCCGACGGTGAACAAACCCGCCGCCGCAACATTCTATTTGACATCTGTATATAATACTTTTTTCGCGCCCTTTCATTGAGTGCGGCCAGTTAGTTACCCATTGTGGACTGGCGAACGGTTTTGTTAATATGAGAATACAAAAATTTATAAAAATTTATTTATCTAATATTGTAGAATATTAGATAAATAAATTTTACATATATGAAAATTGAAGTTAAATTATGCGTTATATTAGTTTTTGCGCCACTTAAACGCAAGAAAGCGTTGGTGTGGGCGATTGATTCATTTTCTATCGTTTGCAAACTTAAAAAAATTACAGTTGCAATCTTTTATTCAAATAATTTTTAAAATTTTCCACAGAAAAAACAAAGAACCCGGAACAGATAGATGTGTACACGGTGCAACAGAAAGGTGTTCGCAAACGTGTAATCAGGACGACCCTTGGTGCGTTCTGGAAGAAGGACTCCGTGATACGCATCAACAACGTGGATGACAAACAGGAGACCCCGAACAGCGAGAAAGACATAAGGGCAAAGGTAACCGTCGATCATTCCCGAATGTTTCCAATTCTAAAATTCTTTAAAAAAAAAGAACAAAACCAGTGTTCCACATCTGCCAGTATCGTTTGTAATTCAAAAGAAATAAAAAAAATATAGTATTCGTTTTTCAAAATCGAAACACTATTACATCGGTCAAGTTTCGACACGGATCACACGCGATACGATGCAAGCGTAACGCAATTGAGTTCAGATTGTTCAATCGCGACGATAACCCAAACGGCATTGTTTAATAAACATTTCTTTCGTGCACCGCGCGCTTTCTAGTGCTTTGCAAAATGCCGTATCGATTCAAACGCTTCGAACGACCCTTTCACATTGTCAAAAAGAGTACTTCGTCCAATTAATTGACTATTCTATAATTTACCCTGTATACGCTTAAAGCACACTTTCCTATAAAAGCTATCAACACTGTTAGAGTCTTCGACGTTCTCCATTCTTCCTTATAGGCCTGTAGCATTTCTCGGAGCAATTAGTCCTTCCCTGTGTAGGTCAACGCTAGAATTGGGAACCTCTCATTTCAGATAGCCTCATCGGGGCTTTCGTTTTTTGGAAAGTGACAGTGGAACGGCTACTAAGGAGCTTCTCCTGATTGCAGCTTGACATGGCCACTAAATCCAGGTTCGAGAGGAACTGGCACAATACCCTACACTTTGTCCATTGGTGCCGTTATGGTGAGACACCGCAAGAAGCTCGCATGAGACAGGTAATAATGCATTATTAATGATATTACACTGACGAAAAAAAAAATAGAATTCTAGAACCTTATTTTTACTTTTGTTTTATGTTTTTTTTTTTGCGCTATCGGTTCTAGAATTTGCGTTTACATTGTTCAGATTTTTGCATGTCATTCTATTCATTGGTATAAATCAAGCTGTCCTTACAATATATTTTAATATAACACGTTAAATTGGATATTACATAACTACTACGTTTAACCTTTGACACTTACTTGGACATCACCAAAGCGATTTTGCACTGGCCTAAACATTAAGTCCTATCCAGAGCAGATTTGTAATGACAGTTTAAAAAGAAAACGAGACATACTTTCTAAGTCCGATCATTCATTTGGGAAGTTGCTTATTTCTAAGCTTTTGTGAATGTTACCGCTGTTCTATTGAATTGGATGTACCTAAAATCCGGGGGGGGCTTCCTCATACACCGAGAACTGGGGGGGGGACATCGGCAGCTGTGGCGTCCGGCGTCGAAGAGAACGATCACCAAGTCACTAATAGGGCGCGCTCGATTGCATGGGGACGACGCTTGGGACCGGCGACACCGGGCCAAAACAAAAAAGAGTTCGCACAACGTAGTGAATTTTGTTGCAGATCAGCTTAACGACGTCGAAAACACCTATGATTATCATCTTTTGATGGTCGTAGAGGCGCAATGGACACAATCAGCCGGCCACGTTTCCATATACCGGTGAGGTTTTTGATTTAAAAAAAAAAAAAAAACGAAAATCCGATCGATGGCGCACCCACCCCCGATCGATGGTCTGTGGTTCAATGTGCCCCCTGAGTGTTTTCTATCGTGTTTGTCCAACTGATGCATAAAATGCGAAATCGAGATCGCGTGTCGCGTCTACATTCCGTGTCGGTTCAGGCGACTTAGCAGTTTTCAACTGATTGTATGATTGATTGAGGATCAAATATAAATTTATAATATAGATAACGGCAACGTGACTCGCGGAATGGATAATTGAAAAGGCGAAAAATGCGCCTTCGCGCATCACCTCAATACGGACTTGATTTTGACAAAATTTTGAAATATTCCCTTTGCCTGTGAGCTATTTCTGTTATCCTATCAAACATAATTGCCAGGTTCTACAATATAATTTCCTCGTGGACTTTGATTTTCAACAACCGTTATTAATTAACTGTAACATAACTATCTTATCTACATTCCGAGAAGCGAGCGCATTTAATGTGAACACAATTTGACAGAGGCACAAGGTCACCCGAAAATTAGGTTAACAGACACCGAGCGTGTTGTCACGCCTTATTAAGAGTAATTTATAATACAGAAAACATTTTGAATATATTACTTGTGATTATATTTTTTTTTCTTTTTTTTAAATTATTATTGGTGAAAGTATCGCTAGCCGCAAAAAATGAGGGGAAATATGTTGGACTATTGGTCTAAATGATGTTTATTCAGTTGCCATTTGCTCTTAAAAACCAATGTCAACAATTAGTTAGGATTGAATTATAGGTTCGACTACGACTTTTGAATAACTTAAGTTCAGATTATATATTATAATAAAGACGAAATTACATTCGTTAATATATCATTAAAAAGAAATTCTTATATCACGCGCTTTTAAGCAAACGCTATTGGAGAATTTAAACGAATATAAAAATTTTAACGAATATAAGAATAAAAGCGGCATTAGGTAAAAACGTAAAAAATTTTCCACACTGATTATACAAACATGAAATGTTAATTAATTGTATAATTTGTAACCTTTAAAATATTCCAGATGACACTAAAGTTGATAACACTTGACTTTCAAGCGAAAGTACTTTTAATATAATATATTTATAGAACCGTATAGATTGTCTTTTATATGATTATTCAACTCTGCATGTTTGTGTTTTATATTATAAACTATTTCATAACATGATTTATAAACTGTTATTGTTTTATCACAATAAGCGTAATCAGTATTCTCGTGGTGACCTTTTATAGGACTTTTTTTAAACACCAACATTTAATTACTTCCAAGAAATTTTTTACAACGTAGTTGTCGTTTGTCTAATATTATCGATTGATTACACAAGATGGCGTTAATGTTTTGATAGCCTCTATATATTTTTTTTTAAATAATAGCCTATTAGTTCCTGGTGTTTAAATTTTTGGGCGTTCTGTTATTTTTACGCTGTTTTTTTCATACGTTTTTATTTAGCATATTCTGCCTTTTCACTTTTTACTTTTTACCTATTTCGTCTTTTAATTACAGCGTAATAATAAACTACAGACAGTCCAGCCCGGATGGGATATCTTGCCGTAAAGCCGTGCTAATGAAAAATCTCCTTGTTCCAGATAAGCGAGTCCCTGAAATGGGGCAACATTGGAATGAACATGGGCGTAATGCTCGTGAGTCAGAACAGTGCCAGGGCCAAGGCCAAATCGGTCTGAGTGTTGCCAACCAGCGGCCGCGCCGCCGCTGGTGGGTCGTGCTACGCCTGTTTCTGGCAACCCCGGAATATTGACAACGTCTAAATTGTATAATTTCATCAACGTTCCAACAGCACCGACGTGACTGAAATCGATTGTGCGACATCGATTTAATCTTTAGGGCCGAGTCAGCGACACCTATTTGGTTTTTTTAAATGTATCACCTCTCGATGTTATTTTAATGACAATGTGAATCTGTTCGACAAAATATTATTTATTGTATTGGTTGTTTAAAAAAAGTAAAGATGATATAAAATGGGTGAATTTTGATGGTTAAACATTTTTTGTCTTCAAAATTTATAAAAATGTTGATTTTTAACGAATTTATTCAAATATTTTAATGCAACTCGGTTCCTTTTACGTTTGATATTATTCTAGGCTGATTCGCGATTATTTTCTAAATTATTTGTTTCGCTGTTGAACTAAAGCCGTACTGCCGTTAAATTTATTTTATTACTTTTTATTTATCTTAAATCATCCTACATTTTATTTTCAAAGCATTGTCCTACATTAGGTCTATAATATTTCAATCGATGTTCTCTATACAGAAACATTATAAAAATAATATCCAGGATATATGAGATTATTATTTATTTCTTTTGTGAAAATCGTCTACAGTGGAAATTTTCAATTCGAAGATCAAAATGGAGCTTTAATTTTCTTTAGAACGAAATTTAACTAAAATCGAAAACATTCCTGATTTTTAAATGGGCGATATGGTGAGAGTTTTGTTTCTCAATCGGATAATATTTCACTTGTATGCATCTATCGAAATGTTAGTCTAATGTCTAGTTGGTAAATGTGAATTCTATGAAAACTGTTTATCATTGTTTCTGATTATAAGACTGTGATTATGTGTGGGAGGAGTTGGATATGGTGCGATTGCGAAATACCATTTCGATCTTTCCAGAAGCCTAAAGGCCTTACGAGTTCCTTACGATCAGCAGTTTTTCGCAGTCGTTCGAGTGTCGAGTATTGCTAAGTATTTCTATTTATAAAGTGTAAACGGCTTATGTTAATGTTGCGTGGTGTTGTTCCCGAATGTGGTGAGAGTATTCTACGAGTAAGATATAATGTTCTATTTACATTGAAGCATTTTTTTTTTGTATTAAAATAAATAGATCGCATAACCGACGATATACGTGCGTTTTATTTGACCACCCATAGTTTGGCGATAACGATTTCTTTGACCTTTATTGAACGGATGAACTTCGAAACTATTTCTACATTTATCATAGTAGTGCAGTCAACTATTTCTACATAATCGTTGAACATTGAACATTACCCATTATAATACATTCTTCTGTTCTTTAAAAAAAAACTTCTTTTAATCCTGAGAATTTTAGCCTATGCTCTACACATTTCAGCAACCTTTTTTTAATACTAATATTTTGCAATTGCTATTACAATTTGTATATTACCTATTTGATTGCCGTTTTTTACTATTGTAAAACCTTCCCCGCACTATTTTGCGATTGATGAGCGATGTTTTGTTAATAAAAATATAAATACGAGGTAATAATAAATAGGACACATTCTTTTTACACAACGTTCTCTAGTCTCAAACTAAGCAATGCTTGTACTATGGGTACTAGAAAACTGTTAGATATACTTAAACATAATTTTCTTTTGTAAATAAATACACATTATACATATAAAAACACCCAGACACTAGAAAAACACTGCTCATCACACAATATTTTTCCAGTAGTGGGGATCGAACCCACACCCTCTGGCGCAGAAGGCAGGTACACTACCGACTACGCCATTCGGGTCGTTAATGTCGAGATAGACAACTTTATCATGAGAGGCCAATTTTGCCAAAAGACCAGAAAATAAATATGCGAGTCAGCCTGATCTAACATAACTGTCGACTACTCAGTTATATCAGTACTTATTTACTGTAGATAAATTGTAAGGCAATGGCTTCATGAGTGTCTTTATTGTTCAATTCGAAAGTGTATTTAATATGTTGGCGGATAAATAAAGGCGTGTATACTATATTTGCACAGTGTTACAAAATGTTAAAAAAATACTCCTAGAGCAATTTAAAAACCCAGTAAAATTCACTAAATTCTAATCAAAACTTCTTAAATCAGAAATGTCTACGAAGATTTGTTTTGAATTTACGTCCTAAAAAGTTCCATTGGAAATTGTTTCCTAAATTTTGATAGAAAACTCCCAAGTTGGCTTTTGTGGCATCACTCAAGTACTAATAAAAAAAGGAACTAGAGTAACCAATTAGAATGACAACGTCACACTAAACAGCCAGTAACGGTGTGATGCATTCATGCACCGGTCGCGGAGACCAATGACGTATCAGTACCTTTCGCTCCCCGCTGTTCCCCACCAATCGGCCAAATTTCAACTTCAAGGATAGCCACTCAGGATACATGCTACGATTATCGAGTGACTTTGAATCTACGAAACAAACGTCAGTTGATTTCCCTCGAACCGTTTGGAACAGATTTAGTCTAAGACTATTTTTTTTTAATAGTAATTTGTACTGAATATCTAATTTAAAAGTGGTAACGCGTCTAGAAGACTAACACCCAGTTTCCGAAAGCGCAATCAATTTTAATTTACAATAAATCTCTTGTCAAATGTTGTTTAACATGATCTGAGTTGCTAGAACGTCTGAAAACAATATTGATTTTGATTTGCAATTAGTCACTGATTAACGGACAATCAACAGAAAATCGAGTTTCTGAAAGCAGTTTTCGGTGGTCAACGAGCTGTCAAAAGTTTTATTAAGGAATCTGTCAATTTGGACGATCAATCGTTGGTTAAAAATGTATTTTATCAAAAATCTTAGTTCTTATTAAAAGAAATAATAATTCTCTAATACGTCGTAAGGAAATTCATGTGTTCTATTACCTGTTTATTACTTATTATTATGCGAACATATCATGCGATTAGAAAAAATAAAAACTGCAATTCAAAAGTTAATAAATAATATGGATTCTTTCTTTTTATAATACTTACTTGTTTATTATGGATAAAAGTTCATTTTTTTCACGTTCTGTAAAGTTTTTTCTTGACATTTTGCATGTATTTATATAAATTAAATTTTATTATAACTCTGATTTTTACGTTGGCAATCACATGGGGATTCTTTCTTTTTATAATACTTACTTGTTTATTATGGATAAAAGTTCATTTTTTTCACGTTCTGTAAAGTTTTTTCTTGACATTTTGCATGTATTTATATAAATTAAATTTTATTATAACTCTGATTTTTACGTTGGCAATCACATGGTGACAGCACTGGATAATGACGTTAATTTAAGTTTTGTTTAAAGAGGGAAAGCTATACGATAGAAAGAGTTGGTTGAAGTAAATCATTCATTTCATTCGTTATCATTGGTTATACAGTGATTAGGTAATTTTTCTTGAACAAACCTTTCAGAAACCCAAGGCAGTTTAACAAGAGATTAAACAGCTGATCATTTTTGACATAGTGTTATGTGATTGCTGCTTTGATTGGCCTTTCGGAAACTGGGCATTAGGCTCAAATCCCGCCGTAGTTTTGGGGCTTATTGGACAGTTGTTGATCGGATAACTGGTCGAGTGGTACCGTAATATTTTATTTATTTATTTATTTACTTAATAGAGTTATATTATTAGAAAAGGTTCATCAACAATCGTTGACAATGGATACTTTTTAAAGGTAAATAAATTAAGATTCAACTTATATTAGTGTAACAGTTAATTAAAGACAAACACCACTTGGACAAATAAAACTATTAAGTGATATCAAAAATAAATTAAATATCTTGGACTAAACTTAAGAGTAGGGTGTGCGCGAGTAGTCGATATAATAACTATTCTTGGCGATAACTTAATAATATTATTTTTGACTAATAAGATAAATAGCTACACATGGGCTATATATATATATATATATATATATATATATATATATATATATATATATACTTTTGCAATCGAGTCATTGAAAATCAATGCAATCACTATGGCCATCAAAATTACGTGTACCTTCCTTAAAGTGGATAATAAAAAGGGCTACCGGTGTCCGATAGAGAACTATCGTTGTCTCCTCGCCTCACTAGCGGCGAGATCTCGGCACCTGGAAGACGCACCCACCTGTCTGGGTAGACCGAAGATCATCCTCGGACTGCGGCACCGGCGCTGACACCTCGGCGCCTGGAAGACTCACTCACCTCCCTGAGCAGACCGAACAGCATGTCCGTGGAGAGCGAGCGCTCGTGCGCCTCGTCCATGATCACCGCGCAGTAGTTGTCCAGGTCGGGCTCGCGAAGACCCTCGCGGAGGAGGATGCCGTCCGTCATGTACTTGATCACGGTGCGGGGCGAGGTACAGTCCTCGAAGCGGATCGCGTACCCCACCTCCTCGCCTGCGTTTTTTTTGTAAAGTTACACTCCTTTAGGCGCTTTATGGAGAAACTAGCTGCTGCCCGCGACTACGTCTGCGTAGTATTCTACTAAACAGCCTATTCTATTGGCCGAAGGCGTAACGTTCAGACGGAACGACATAAAAATAAGTATATAAATTATGGCCTATGTCTTATTCTAGTGTATATATATACCTATATTATTGTAAAGTTTCATTAAAATCCGTTCAGTAGTATTTGCGTGAAAGAGTAACAAACATCCATCCATACATACATACAAACTTTCGCCTTTATAATATTATAAATGATACTAATTTTACGGATTTATCGCTTTTATTTTTAATTTTAATTCCCGACGTTTCGAACCCTTTACAGCGTCCATGGTCACGGGACAGATTGAGGTGTTAGACGTCTGATTGTCCTAGTTAACCCGGGCTACCGTCAGTTTTTTAATTATTAATTTTGTGTCCGATCTATGCAGAGGGAGCTAATTGTATCTTGTCTTGCAGTAGTGGTACGTTTGGGCCTAGATTTAATTTTATTGATGACAGGATCACAAGCTGATAGTAGTACCCAACCCTCCTCTATTGAAATTAGTTTCAATAGCCTCGCGAATCATCCTTTGGAGGAATCGATGTTCATTTGCAAGGATCTGTGGTTTATCAAACCTGAAGTAGTGGTTGGGCCGATTTAAGGTGTGCTTACAAACTGCAGACTTGTTCAATCTATTATATTTATTATAATATTAGTAAGGATGATGAGAGTGATATTTTAAGATGCGCACTTAAGCTAAAAAATTAGCTTCTACTGCTGCACGAATGGGCAGGCTCGTCCGGGGAAGCCATGGCCTCGCAGAAGGCCGGCGTGAAGCCGAAGTATTACACCTTCGCGTCTCATCTGGTGAGTGTGGTAACCGGCCCGGCTTTAAGTTGTCCTCAGAACTTGTAGATGTTCATGGGCGACGGTATCCAATTAACATGAGGTGAACCGCCAGCTCGTTTGCCACCTTCTCACATAAGAAAAATGAGGTTGTCAAGAAAATAGTGGAGGGCGTGACACTGACCCTATTTAATAGTAGATGCAATATAGATAGAAATATTGGCAACAGAATAGAGGAGTGCATAGAGGCACCGACTCTATTTGAAAGTACATACAAGATCACATTCTGTTCCCACTGCCCTGAAGAAAAGACGAAGACAGAGTGGTGTGGTAGCAGCTCGTCACCGATTCTGTCAAAGCTTTTCAAGACGGACACGACCTTCAGTAAACGGACCACGAAGAGGAAGACAAGAACACATGCAAAGGTTGCCAAGTACATTTTTATTATTAACGAAAAACACAACCTCACAATTGTTTTTGAGGAGTTCCCTAAGCATCTTCGGGGCCCAAGATCCAATACCAATGAAATTAACACGGTACCACGTGGGAAGCGCCGGCTTTCAAATAAAAAAAGGAATCATCAAAGTCGTTTCACTCAGTCGAAAGTTCTGAAGAAACAAACATAAAAAAAAAACAGTCGAATCGAGAACCTCTCCTTTTTTGGAGTCGGTTAAAGACAGCGGAGGGCGTACCCAGCTTGCAGCCCATCTCGTCGCAGACGCGTTTGGCGACGGACATGGCGGCGACGCGGCGCGGCTGCGTGCAGCCGATGGTGCCCAGCCGGCTGAAGCCCTCCTCGTGCAGGTACTGCGTCAGCTGCGTCGTCTTGCCGCTGCCGGTCTCGCCTGCGACAAGAGTTCGATAGAGCGAGACGGCGGCCTCCTCGCTCCGTCTCGCTCCGCCCCGCACGGCGGACAGTCGCGGATGCGGGGCAGAGCGAGACGGCTGCACTCGCTTTCTGTCTCACTCCGCCCTACACGGTGGACAGTCGTGAATGAAGGCAGACGCTTACTCTCCACCATAGCGCCACACATCACGGACAGAGCGAGACGGCAACAATTTCGAGGCGCTTCTCGTCTCGCCCGCACTACAACGTTTACAGTCGCAAATATTAATACCATTTCTATCCGATTTCACGAACATTCATTTTTTTTCAACATTAGTTGAACCGTCAGCTCGATTGTCACCTTCTCACGTAAAAAATATGTATTGTTTTATGATTATTACCTATGAGTTTTAATAAAAAGCCGACTGTTTATTTTGGTAATAGTTGATCCTTCTCGATCGTGGCGCCATCTAGCGACGGCGTTCAAAAGATAAGTAGGTGACACTGCAAAGGGGTTGGGGCAACATACCCACGATGATGATGACGTTGTTCTCTCTGATGACCTGCATCAGCTGCTCGCGCACGGCGAACACGGGCAGGTAGCGGCGCTGCTCGCCGATCGACTTCTTCTTCACGAAGTCAGACTTCGACTCGGGCTCAGGGCCCTCTGAGGGGGAGAAGTGAAACTTCATCAGCCAGAGTCATGATTTCTTTATTCAATATAGGCTTATTTTAAGCTCTTATTGAACGTCAACAAACTCGGTTCGATAAATTAGAACTGGGCAGAGAAGAAACGGCAAGAAACTGCGATCTTGTTATCTTAATTTTTTTTAATTTACTTATATAAATACAACAAAATTATTTAAGTATAAAATCATCAACAATAAGGGGATTTGCCAGTGTAGAGCAAGAGTCATTTCCGAACATCCTTGTCCTAAATGCATTTGACCCTACCCTAATGGGAATGAGCCGTGATAGCTCAGTGTCCGGGCGCTCGCCTTTGAATCAATATACTCGAGCAACCTGAGTTCGATCCCCGGTGCCGGCACCAATGAAGTTTTTAACTTTAAGTGCTGACTCATCACGTGCTCCGCGGTGAAGGAAAACATCGTGAGGAAACCTGTATATTTTCGAAATAATAACAAAAAAAATATTTCGAAGACATGTGAAGTCCGCCAATACGCAGTGGGGCCGCGTGGTGGACTATGCCCTGATACCCTCTCTATAGAGGACACTTTACTTTTTTAATGGAAAGGGTACGTTATTTGACATTATAATATGTCCTTTCCATTAGGGCAGCTTTTAGAAAGTGTTTGAAATTGTTTACACTTAATAAAACAAGTGACATCCACAAACAGAATGAGTTCAATTTGAAACACGTAGTATTTCTAGATAGTGTTATAAATACATGTGGTGAGGGTATTGGCTAAATGAAATTTGTAATAACTATTTTGGAGAGCGCTTAGATCTTTTTGGACTTCATCTCATCCAGCGATATCGATCAGCCAACTGGCCTAGAAACAGCCTAGAATAGGGAGCAGCGACTTTTAGTGTCCGAGGCCGAAATCCACTTTGGGTCGCTGAGCCAGTGAATAATTTAAAGACTTAGAATAATAAGCGGATGGTAGAAATTTCAGATTTCGTGTCATTTACAGGTTATTTGATGTTGTATAGTGGAAACTGCCGCTTTTGTCTCATGTAACGTCAGCGTCAGAAATTCTTATTTGGTTATTTATTCACACTTTGCCATGCCATGATAGCTCACTGTCGAGGCACTCGCGAAAATGTAAAAGGTGCATAGTAAATTTCTTTATACGATATTGTAATACAAGAAACAATTTTATATTTACGGAAGTTTTTCCCCCTCATTAATGATATTTACTAAAGCAAAACGTACCTTGTTCCAGGTGCTCCGCGTATTTGTACGCCTGCCTAGTGGGCCCGTCTTCTATCTCCTCTTTCTCCTTCTGTATGCCCATTATGTTGCCTGTAGGTATAAATAGTGATTACAGCTCACAATGCTTCCACCCTATATTAAAAAAACCGGCAAAGTGCGAGTCGAACTCGCGCACGAAGGGTTCCGTAGCATCATCAATAAAAACGGCAAAAAACCATGTGTCTTGTATGGGAGCCCACTTAAATATTTTTTTATCCTGAAATATATCATCTGTCAAAATTTAAACTGTCTAATTATCAGCGTCTAATTGTCTAATTGGCAGCGGAGTCTAAGTAATAGGGTCCCGTTTTACCCTTGGGTTACGGAACCCCAAAAAGTTAAAATTTTACTCGTACTACGACAGAGATTGATGTTTCCTGCAGGGATATATAGAGATATTTATTACACCTCACAATCCTTCCACCCTATATTAAAAAAAAGTTAGGGGGTTTTATCAATTCTACAACAGGTGGAACCTTTGAATCTTATTTATCAAATTAATAAGTCAATTCTAGATTAATAATACTACAAGACTAAAAAACGAACAAAACGTCAATAACACTATTCACGCAAGAATTACTATATTATTTTGCCAACTCTAATGTACATTTTTTAAATTTTAAAGTTTTTTATAGTGCTAATCTCTGCACTTAAGATTGAACATTAAAACATGTGGAAAATGTACGGAAAGATTATCGCCGCTGTGGGAATCGAACCCGTTTAGCTCAGTGGCTAGAGCGTCAGGCCGCGAATGCCGAAGACGTGGGTTCGATTCCCACAGCGGCGATAATCTTTTCGTACTTTTTCCACACGTTTTAATCTAATGTACATTGATAATAACATGCTACTGTACGATTAACATTATTTTTAATTTTTCATTTAGAGTGAAAACTAGTAGTTGTGAAAGTGTTAACACGCTAGATGGCGCCAAATTTTATCACACTAGATGGCGTTATCACTTACTACTACTGTATGTTATTAACAACATACTGAATTTGAAAACTACCTAATGTACAACCTGGCGCTTCTACCGCAACCTATAAACACACATAGAGGATAACTTTTTAAAATTATATTAAAAATTTACTTTCATTAAACATAAATTTTCCCGAGTTATTTAATTTTCTATTTTATAACAATTCTACGTATAAAACTGTAACATTTGTAAAGGTCACAGGGCACATGAATTGGTTGAATGAGTTTAAAAGAGATAAAACATACTGTGAGGAGAGACTTGGAGCGCGACATTATGGCAACGAATGAAAAAGTCTCTTTATTGAACAGAGGATTTTTTCATTACGATTTATTCTTTCCATGAAGTAAACTTGCGAAGCGGTGGTATATTTACGCTAGAACTTTTTTGAGTTTCGAGTTACGGTGGCCATACCGATCTTGGTGCCCTCCAGCTTCCAGTGCTTCTTCTGCGCCTTCTTCCTCTCCTTCTGCTCCCTGAACGCCTTGACCAGGGCGGAGCCCTTGCGCGCGTTTATCGCCATGTCGGAGGTGGGGTCCTTTACCTGGGAAATTGTAATTTATCTATTTATTGGGCCTTCCAGTGGTTGTTACATTAAAAACAATATTATAAATGAAACATGAGTTAATGTTACAGCTCAATTTGCATTTAATTAAGAGGCACAGCATTCTTAAAATAAAACATGAACACGTGTCATTTGATTTTTATAGTGCTAATCGCTGCACTTAAGATTAAACATTCCAATTAGAAAGAAAGATATTTATTTGACATAAAACAGACTAACGTACACAACAATCATTTTAAAAATAAAAATTAGACAAAAAAAAATATTTACATAAAACTCCAGTATGCATAATATATTCCCTTTTCATTATAGTACGTCGCGATTCATGCCAAAAAGGATATCACTCAGCAGAATGTTGCAGTGAAACTGCACCTTTTTTTTATATATTTTTTTTTATTATTAAACTTCGTGAATTTAACGCTGAGTGGAAACCTTTTTGCTGCACTAATAAGCGTAAAATATTTTTTTCTCTTTGTAACTAAATTACTGTGTTTATGTCTTTTATGTGTTTTTTTTTTTTCGTTTATGTACCAAATAAATATTTTTCTTTCTTTCTTTCTTTCTTTCAACGCTGATTTTCAGTAATGATGATCGGAAATGTAGGTTGTTGAGATTTTCGCTGGTGTTAGCTTAGTGGTCGAAGCGTTTCTGGGCGCGAATCCCGATTAAGTGGGTCCGATTTCCGCAGCGGCGGAAAACTTCGTACTTTTGTTCTACAAATTTTAATGAATACGAGACGAATCACCGCTCCAAGTGAAATGTATCCTATTGCCGTGGACGCAGGTTTGTGTTCCAACTCACCGGTATTACGGGCTCCGGCTGCTTCGTGAACACGATCCTGCCGTCCAGAAACGGCGGCACGATGTTGTGGACCAGGAGGTGCACGCGGTCTACGCTCTCCTGTGGATCAGAAAGGGTCATTTCACTGTCGTTTGAAGATTTTCATCGGGGGGAGTGACTGATATTAAATTGTTCTATGTGGTTGGCACAGCGTTTGGATGACGGCCCGACGAAATTACATCTTCAGTGTAGAGTACGAGAGTGGTAATATAAAATTGAATATGCTCGAAAACGGCGAATAGTAATCGGGCGCTGAACGATATGTAGTGTATGTATAGTAACAAGTAAAAAAAATCCTAAATGTTGTTAGTTTAATTCATTTTTTAAAATTTTTTCTTATTATCCATTGCGCTTTTCATTATCCTCTTATCTTTGTTTAAGCATGACGTGATTACCTCTAACTCTAAGAACAGTTACGTAGATTCTTAGCATTTTATTTTTAGATTGTGGATGCTGTGTCTTATGTTGGTAATCCTATTAATAAATGAATGAATGAATGAATAAATGAATAAATAAACAAGTGGCGGGCGCACCTCGTCCATGTCGCCGCTGAGGTTGACCGCGTGCACGACGCCGCTGGTGAGCATGCGGTTGCGCTCCCAGAGGTCGTTGTCGCGGTCGATCTGCTGCCGCTGCGCGGACACCTTGCGGCTGCGGCGCCGCTCGAGCTGCTCCTCCTTGCGCGCCACGTACTCCGCGCTGGTGCCGGCGAACGGGTCCGCCTCCTCGCTCTCGCCTGCCGCACACACACACACACACACACACGTCAACATCGCGGACGGTCTCGCGGGAGGATTAAAACTATACTCTCACTCCGCGTCCGGAGCCTGCCGGTCACACTCGTCAACATCGTGGACAGCCTCGCAGGACAATTAAAGCCATACTCCTACTCAATGTCCGGAGCCTGCCGGTTACACTCTCGTGAACATCGTGGACAGTCTCGCAGGACAATTAAAACTATACTCTCACTCCACGTCCAGAGCCTGCTAATTACACTCCCGTACAGACCATGGACAATGTCACTGGAGAATAAAATACTCATAATCTCGCTCGACGTCCGTATCTAGACGTTTAAAATGTCTGTAAATGTCCCACGGCTGGGCAAAAACCCTCTCCGTTCAGAGGGTATTAGGGCATAGGGACTTTGAATATTCTTTCTTGTTACTATTTCGAAAATATGCAGGTTTACGCAAGGCGTTGCAAATACTTGCCTTCGCCCATATTGTACCAAGCGCGATCCAGCTTCTTCTCTGCCTCCTCCCAGTCTGGATCATCTATGTCTATTCCGCGCCGAGAAGACACCCATCTGGAAGAGTAAACAAAATCAAGTGTAAGCACTTTTATGTAATACTCTCATTGTCATGAAAACACCATGAATAAATATAAAAAGAAGCCATGTAAGCCCTAGCTTAGAATGTAGATATTTTTGTAAGGATTTGATCAAATACTCACTTATGGGGTGTTGCTCTTGGTGTGAAATCGTATGGCCTCCCTTTACTGTCCCTAAGAGGCCGTCCCCTTTCAGTGCGTTGAGAACGCTCACCACCACTGAAGTCTTTTGGTAGCGGGGTGGGGAAGTCCCAACTAGATTTTCGCAGCGGGCCCTTTGTCTCATCGTCATCATCATCCCACGCGGTTTTGTCAGTGGGTTTGAGCGCTTTGATGCTGGAAAAGTGCAGTAAGTAAGTAAGTAGTAAGTTGTATATAGGACCATTTATGTCAGAGAAAAAATCAAGTACCATTAAGTGCACAAAGGTAATACCAATTTTATCTTGTGGTATAATTCTTGTTTTTGCTACTTAAATATAATAAATACCCATAATACATTTTTGCAAAATAAGGAGAAATCTACCTTTAAATTATATAATTATAAAGTTAGGAAAAATGTTTTCTACCCGTTCAAACTTCATAATAAAAAGGGTTTAAAAACACTCTCCTGTTCAATAGCTATGTGTGAACAAATTAGAATGGAATTTTGTGTTAAATATATTTGGGGTAAAATTTTAATCACCTCGGAGTTCTAGGTTCATCTTTGAACCTTGGTTCATAATAACTCCTCCTTGAACTATCCCTTTCCGAGTCTCTTCTATCTCTGTCCCTTTCTCTTCTATCAGAGTCTCTCCCTCTTTCCTTATATCTGTCTCTATCCCTCTTGTAGTCATCATATTTTCTTCTATCTCGGTCATGCTTATCATAACGGTTATGATAGGAACGATCATCATCATCCTCCTTTGATCTGGATTTCTTTTCTTCTTTCGTTGAATAGTGAACACCTTTTTCTTTTGTTTCCTTTTCTTTCCTGTAATAAGTTTATTTTGAGTTGAGAAAAATTTTGAAATAATTAGCTCCGAGAAAATTTGTCGATCTAGTTGGTAAAGTGAAATGGTATTACTTTTGTATTTTCCCAAAATTTAACAAAATTATTCAAGTTGAAATTGGAACATTGACCTACTCTATACTAATAATAATTATAGTTAAAATGATGTTGGTGAGTACCACTCTAGGCTGGTTCCAAAAAAAATATTTAGCTTATTTAGTAAAGTAACAGCCTATATGTACCATTGCTGTGCAAAGGTCTCCCCTGTACAGAGGGTATTATCCACCATATTTTTGTTATTATTTCAAAAAAATGCAGGTTTCCTCACAATATTTTCATTCACCGTTGAGCACATGATAAGGGGATCAATACTCATATATGTAATTAAAAGGCCAAACAATGATCTATCATGACTCCTTATTTAGATTATATACTTATTTAGATTGTTAAAAAATTTATAGCAATACCATGAAATGCAAACATGCTTAAGTGTTATTGTAATAAGCATAATAGTTGAAAAGTAATGGTAATTATTAAGGTTATGTTATTTTCCACTCTAGTGAATATTGATGCAGATAAAATGACATAAACATTTACTTCTGTAGTCGCTCTAGCATCCGTTCTCGTGCTTGCTCAGATAGACCGCCCGTATATGTCGGTGTCTCCTCGTTATGCTTTCTGTATTTGCGTTGCTTAACACTGGCAGCGTCACGGCTATCTCCTGATTCATCATCCTCGTTTTCTTCGTTCTGAAACGAAATCAATCTGTTCTGTTTCCTCTTCGCCGCTGCTAATTTATCTAAACCCAATAGAGAAGGTTTTGCGAACTGAAACTCTTGCGGTTTATCTTTCTTTTTGATAATTAACCCGCCTGGAGCGTCTCCTGATGTGCCCGCCAAACGATGCAAGTTTTCGTCTCCATCTTCCATTGCATAAAACTAGCGGCTCTAAAATTGAAATCGTTAATATCACAGCCTTATTATTTATACAAGTTTATTATCACTTTAATAAAGCTAAGTTAAATAAATCCTATTGTAAACAATATTCCAAAGCATGAAACAACATAGACGACTGACGTCAAATTTAATGACAGTGACAGTAACATGTGACAAAATTGACAATACATTGTGCAACATCTGATGAATTTAAAATAAATAAATAAAATAAAAAATAAAAAAGCCTTTTATTTCTTGCTACACAGTAGAAATTTACAACTTGAAAAAAGAAACAATGTGCCGATATGTAGAATAAATTAATTGTATTTATAAACGTAAATTTGCAAGAACCCCTCTCAACGGAAGGTAAAGGCCTCCTCCAGAGTTGACCAATGTATTCTGTCCTCTGCTACTCGCATCCAGTTGGTACCTGCTATTTTTTTAATGTCATCTGCCCAGCGCGCATTCGGTCTACCCCTTTTTCTTTGGCCCGATGGTCCTAACCATGATGTCGTTTTTGTAGTCCAGCGGTTGTCAGTAAGTCTGGCTACGTGTCCAGCCCATCGCCATTTTAGCTTCTGTGAGTAACTGAGAGCGTCGATAGCTTTTGTCTTCTGTCTTATAGCAGTATGACGGATTTTATCGATCTTCTTAATGTTCAGAATGCTTCTTTCCATACTTCGTTGGCTTGTTTTGATCTTATTTTTTACTTTCCTTGTAAATTTCCAGGTTTGACAGGCGTATGTTAGTGAGGGAAGTAGACAGGTGTTCATGACTCTGCTTTTGAGTTTTATGGGAATGTCGCTTTTAAGAATTTCCTTGAGACTCCAGAACTTCTTCCAAGTGATGTTGACTCTTCTCTCTACTTCCAGTTCGTTGCTGTGTTGGTTAAATGAAATTTGTTTTCCCAGGTAAACGTATGTATCTACATAGGTTAAAGGCAGGTCTTTGAGATATATGGGTATTCTAGTATGGTTCGTCATGATATTAGTTTTATTTAAGTTTATTTCCAAACCTACTTTACAACTTTCTTGTAGAGAGTTTATCATCTGTTGTAGTTGATTTGTGTTTTCTGATAGCAGAACTATATCGTCAGCAAATCTCAGGTGGCTCAGGTAACATCCATTTATGTTTATGCCGACTTTCTCCCAGTTTAGTTTGCGGATGATTGACTCTAGCACCACTATGAAGATTGTTGGCGACACTGGATCTCCTTGCCTTACACCTCTTTTAATTTGTATTATTGGTCCAGTGGTCTCCAGCTTCAGTCTGCTAGAACTGTTGTCGTAGATGTTTTTTATGACTTGTATGTAATCCAATGGCACTTCTTGGGAGAGTAGAGCTTCCCAAATCGATGAATGAAACAGAGTATCGAAGGCTTTTTGGTAATCAATAAAAACAGCATAAATTGGTCTGTTGAACTCTTGGAATTTTTCTATAATCATCTCTAGCGAGTGTATATGATCTACTGTGGAAAAACCTCGTCTGAAGCCCGCCTGTTCTATAGGTTGGAATTTTTCTGTAGTTTCTTTAAGTTTCTTCTCTATTATGGACGAAAAAAGTTTGTATATAGAAGGTAGCAGGCTTATCGGTCTGTAATTACTAATGTTATTTGGATCTCCTTTTTTGTAGAGTAAAATTATTTCCGACTCTGACCATTGACGTGGAGTGTTTTTGCTGTTCAGTATCATATTGAACAGTCGGGTCAGCGGTTTAGCTAGATACTTGAATCCTGTTTTTATAGCTTCGTTGTTGATCCTGTCGGGCCCTGGGCTTTTATCTGTTTTTAGTGCTTTAATTACTTTGGCCACTTCGTTTTCATCGATGGTTGCTTTCGTCTCCTCTGTGTTAATACTCGGTAATTTGTATGCTGGTAGGTTCGGCAAGCTATAAAGGTTTTTGTAAAAATCTGTTGCTATTTTGAGTATTTCTGTTCTATTTTGTGTTATGTTAGTTTTGTTTTTTAACTCCTCAATCCATGATTTATGTGTTCTCAAATCCTTGTACGCTTTTTTTTTTGGCGCTAACTGTAGTATGAAGACATTTTTCAATGGTTTGCGCTAAGCTTATAAAGTGCTTTTTAATTCATTTTTCATGGCCCTTGTTTTTGGTTTTGTTTTATGTATTTCTTGTCTTCTACTAATTAGTGCCTTTGTTCGTGCTGATATTATTTGGTTTGTCTCTGTGTTTGCGTGTGTGTGTGCTTTTTTCAAGCTTGTATCTATTGCGTTTATTATTTTATCATAGCAATTCTGAACGGTGTCTCTATCATTCCAGTTGTTGAGCAGATTTGCAGAGCAGCTGTTCAGTGTGTCAATGTAGGTTTGCACTTCATCCTCATTTTTTAACTGGGATCTGTTGCATTGACCAAACTTGGTACGATTTCTGGACCTTGGAAGTATATTGAATGCTGCTCTAACAGGTCTATGGTCCGAAGGGTAGGTGATGTTTAGGACCTGTATATTGTATACGCTTCTTGGTAGATTTGTTAAGATGTAGTCTATTTCATTTCTTGTATTACCATCAGGTGATTTCCAAGTCCATCTCTGTTTGTTGCTCTTTTTGAAAAAAGTGTTCAAAATGGCTAGATTGTACTCGTACGCGAAATCAATGAGTCTATTTCCTCTACAGTTTCTATTACCGTAGCCGTAATTTCCGGTGATGATTTCGTTTGGTTTTGGTTGACCAATTTTGGCGTTAAAGTCGCCCATGACTATTATTTTATTCCCTGCGAGTCGTATGGCTTTTTCGACAGTACTGTAGAAGAGCTCTAGTTCTTCATCTTTCGAGGCCTCCGTTGGGGCGTAGGCTTGAATGATGCCTAGGTCTAAATTGCTGGTATGAATCCTTAGCAACGCTACTCTTTCTGACAATCCCTTGAAGCATGTTATATATTTTTTCAGGTGTTTTTTGATAATAAAGCCTACTCCATATAATCCTGGCGTTTCTCCAATGTGGTATAAAATAAACTCGTCATGTTCCTCTATTTTGTTGCCGAGTCTTCTGACTTCTGAGAGACCAATAATATCGTATTTTATGTTTCTTAAGGATTCTGTTAGTTCCAGTAGACGTGAATAAGTCGATAGTGTTTTGACATTATAAGTCGCTATATATAGGGTGTTGTGATGATTATTTTTTGTGGTGTTTGAGAAAACTTCTAGTTTTTCCTCTGGAGGGTTTTGGTCGTGATCTTCCACGGAGACCATGAATTTGTTGCCATATAAATACATGTTTTTGTTCGAAATGAGCTCGAAATAACAAAGTAAACTACATTTTTTAGTATGGTGGGCCCAGCGACTTTGACAGGGGTCTGTGGGTAGAAGCAGTTAATGCACGATGACTTCATCCGCTTCGCTACAACTCCGCGATCTGTGATAAGATAGTGAAAAAAAGATCAACCTCTGAGCGAAACTGTTACCGATAAGGAAACCTATCCACAGGAAGCAATCCGGTTGAAATTGCGATTTCATTGCAAAACAAAATTAACCCACTAAATGAAACTATCGTTAGGTATGAAAATTAATTAAAGTAAACAATTAATAACAATTTTAAGTCTATAGAACATCAACGAAAATGATCAATTTACAAGAACGATAGGTTTACAAACGAAAATAAATAGCAGCCTGCAGTAGCGGGAAAATGAAATTATTTAACACGTGCTCTCATTCTTCATCAGCATCTACACAGTTTACTAGACAGCGCTGTCTCAGATGCACGATCCGAGGTGCGGAATAGATACCGAAGACCGAACAGATACCCGAGGAACGTAAGTCGAAGTGTCTTACCGACCTTTTCCTTACAATTCGGCACTCCTTATACATAAGAAGAAATTTGTTTTGAAATACTTGTAGTGGTTTCAGATGTCTGCTGGAAAATATCCGTCATACGTCATTATGAGAGGAATAAATGAATGTTGTGTCAATTTAATAGACTTATTTTTTCTCTCCACTGTACTCTAGAATAGGAGACTTCTGATACAGGTATAATAAAAATGAGCCGTCACGGGACGCCTGGCAGATGTGAAACATTGACATTATTTTGTAAAAGTAATATGCAGAAAAGAACAGATTGTGATAGGAACTAAATATGTCATAATAATAAAATAAAATATTACGATTTTTTTCCAGATAACGATGACTATTTATTGAATAAACATTATTTTCATTAAATACAAAAATTTACAAATTTATTTCAAATCGTGACTACTTAATTCGTTTAATCAGTGACTTCGGTAATAGTATACACAATTAATTAAAGTTACTTTAATTAATTAATGATTATTAACAATTAATTTAAATTTGAGTAATAAATCGTACACACTATGCATATAGACTGTATATATATATACCATCAATTAGGCTGGCGACGTGTCGCCACGGCATGCGTCGCCACGCCAGAAATCGGTTTTACGTGCGGCTATAGATGTTTCACATCAAAATAATGAAAATCTTACGCCTATTAAAGCGTATTTTCGGTTATTAATATTTGTTTAATCTGAATCGCTACATCTAGGTCTTGAATTAAATATTTAACAAAATACTTAACTGGGGCTCCCATACAACAGACATGATTTTATTGCTATTTTTATAGATCGAATGGCTGTTCGGAAGTTCAATTTTTATTATTACCCCTAATAAGCTTGTAAGTCCATTTTTTTATGTGGATGAAATTTAAAATAATTTGGTGAAAATACGTTGAACGACGTGATTCAATTGAATTTCACCAAAAATCCTTAGATTTTTCTTCTACGACCAATACATAAAGATTTAACTCTCCTCCTTTGCAAATTCAGGTTTTATTTGGTAGTTGCTCAGGAAGATTTTCGTTAATTAGTTCGTATAATTATACGAACATATAAGAATTATAGTTTAATACTAAGAAAACAAGGATTCATCATCATTACACACTATCGGGTTTAAGCCAAGCTGGTTTCTAAAAAGCTCGGTGTCCTAAATCGAGCGAGACAGTATTTTCTACCGGCACATCGCTTGCAG